CATAAAATATAAATATAATAATGTGTAAAGTGCACAGTTATGCAAACTCCTTGTGTTTTCTGTCATGGTATTTCAGATAAGCGGACGGACCCATGGCTTCTAATCTACTCTCCTGTACCGATCATCTGTATATTTTTGTGCTATCTTGGTATTATTTGGATTGGACCCAAGCTTATGAAACACAAGGAACCAATGAACATAAAAGCATTGCTTATTGTGTACAACTTTGCCATGGTCGGTTTGTCCATTTACATGTTCCATGAGGTACATTATGTATTTCATACATGCATAACTCTAGTTCAGTCCAATATAGGTGCAAATTATTTCAAGGTTTTGCATTAAAATAACCTAGTCATCAAATCTCAAATCAATTTTTCTTTCCACAGTTCTTCGTTACATCTTGGCTGGCAAACTACAGTTTTCTGTGTCAACCTGTGGACTACAGCCCCAGCCCACTAGGAATGAGGGTGATTACATCTGTCACACTTTCTGTTTAGCTGCCTAGTGTTCTTCACTAATAATCAGTAATTCCTGTTTTCTAAATCATAATCAAATTACCTATACCTGTGATGTTATTATTTTTGCATTCCAATAAAGATGCATTTGTTTCCTGAATGTTACTGTACCTTTTTAGATGGCCAGTGTGTGCTGGTGGTTCTTCTTCTCTAAAGTCATTGAGCTTAGTGATACAGTAAGTTTTATTCATTTAACAAACATGATTATTGCAGATATTTACACCCGTTGTAGACATGCAGTTCAAATAAAGATGCTTTCCCAATTTCCTTATTCAGGTTTTTTTTATCCTAAGAAAAAAGAACAGCCAGCTCACTTTTCTACATGTGTATCATCACGGAACTATGATCTTCAACTGGTGGGCAGGAGTTAAATTTGTGGCGGGAGGTCAATGTAAGACAGAAACATTAAATAATTAACAATAGTAATATAAATTCATTAAAAAAAAACTAAAAAAACAACACTGAACAAATAAACTTAAGGACTAAAATTTTTAACATTCTAGTCAGTTACTAACTCATTTAGTAATTTAAAACCATAGTTCCCTCCAATGACTACAGTTAATATGCACCGTTTCCTAGCCCTCTTTGATTGTATGTATTTTTATACCCATTAAATGTAACAATTATGCATGCATTTTTTTAAACAGAATATCATGTATTTCATTATTTTGACTGTCTCTTTTTGCCTATTCATTCAGCATTTTTTATCGGGCTGCTGAACACCTTTGTTCATATAGTGATGTATTCTTACTATGGCTTGGCGGCCCTGGGGCCTCACATGCAGATATATCTGTGGTGGAAGCGCTATCTCACCTCACTGCAGCTGGTAAGTGCACAGCACACATTGGTAATCTGCTCATTTGAAAAGACACTTTTAGTCTATCAGAGCCTTTTGCTTCACAAAGTTTTATTTTTTTTTGTAAATTACTTCAAAACAGATGTCCTGTTAGTAGATGGCCAGTTGATACTTTATAAAATATTTTTAAAGGAATTAAAAAATAAAAAAACAGAAGCATAACACATCAACGGGACTGTTGAACAACTTGTCATTATAGGTCCAGTTTGTCTTGATGACTATTCACACTGGATACAACCTCTTCACCGAGTGTGATTTTCCTGATTCCATGAATGCAGTTGTGTTCGCATACTGCGTCAGCCTCATTATACTTTTCAGCAACTTTTACTACCAGAGCTACATAACCAGGAAGAGCAAGAAGTCTTAACAGCGTTGGTCCACATGATGAGCAGAGGACTCACCCGTCCTTTGATAGACTAATTTGTCCATCGCTGTTCTCATTGTAGTCCTGCCACAGCTATGTTTAGTCATCAGGACTGAAAATTTGGTGAAACCATTTACCCCATATCTAATTTGGTTTGTAAATGACTTATCCAATAAAGATGTGACATCTCTTATTATTCCTTTTTGCACTTTGGAACATCAACCGAAATAAATTGAACTGTAATTTCATTTGAAATAAGATGGAACATTATCGTTTTGCATGGTTAAAACAGCTTTGTACTGTCTTATAAATTGTGTGTTTCTATTAACAACAGTGAAGTGCACTAGATGGCACTATTTACGTATCTTTACCGCAGCTGCCTCAGACGATGTTCTCGCGCAAATTCTCGCGATAATTAGCAAAGTCGAAGGCACCCAGAAATGGGTAAGCATTTCGTAATTACCTCAATAACGCAGGTCTTTCTTCAGCCTTTGCGACACTTTATGAACCCTAAATTTACAATCACAGTATAGACATAATATATATTAAGTGTTTGATATGTGAATAAACAGCTTATGACTGGCATGATTGCGTTACTGCGTATCCCTGAAGTAAGCTGTATTTAGTCAAGAGCTCTTCAGGTTTTAGTTTTGCACTACAAACACAGTCGTCAAAATCACATATTTATTAACTGAACCATATACTCAAATCAAGCTGCGCGCTTATTTCCTGCAAATACAGCAGACCATTATTTCTTTTTAGGCATTAAAAGTAATGACATTTGGCGTAGGTGCATGTAATTGACCATTTCCGATGTAATGTCAGTTCCTTTGTATGTGTTTTTCATATCTGTTCTCTTCAGGTATCTCCAGGGATCACTGGCACAAGCGTCGTAAAACAGGAGGGAAAAGGAAACCCTACCATAAGAAAAGGAAGTATGAACTGGGTCGCCCTCCTGCCAACACAAAGGTGCGAGACTTTGGTTGACCAGCGTCTAAAAATAAGCATCAGTATATGTGTGTCATTTCCTAAGAGACGCAGGCTACATTGTGGTTTAATATAATATGTTGTTAATTAAGCTACATAAAGAATACATGAAAATGTATAGAAATTTAAATGAACAAAAATAAATAATTGTAATAATTATTTGTAAACTTTTAGATCGGTCCCCGTCGTATTCACACAGTGCGCGTGCGGGGAGGCAATAAGAAATACCGCGCGCTGAGACTGGACAGTGGGAACTTCGCCTGGGGCTCAGAGTGTAAGTGCACATCTCTGCTCATAACAACACTTCTTTCTTTCTTTCTTTCTTTTGCTTCTTCTTCTGCTCCTCCTCCTCTTATTCCAGCTCCAAAAGCAATTGATTACATTTCTCATTGACCTAACACTTATACAATCTTATGCTAGCGAGTCATTGCGACATTTGCATACTAAATTACTGCGATTCATTACATAAAACCTTGTAAGCCCTTCATTTGTTACCTTATTTATTAATGTAGTTAACAATTTCTTTATTTGGTCATTTTTAAATTCATCTCGTTTGTAAGATGAATTTTGTTTGTAGGTTTTAGGACTATCTGACCAGCTCTGTTGAATTTCTTTATTATTGACTTTTTAATCGTGCAGACGTTCATTAAAATGCTAATCATTGTGGTCTACTGAAGGAGTGTCCAAGCAGTCAGTCAAAATTCTTATGTTGCAAACTTACAAATCGGTATATATAACCAATATTTTTATTGGTTGTCAGGACACTGAGTCTGTGTGTCAGTGC